GGTAGAGCCGGTGGGACACCCCTGGTGCCCATCACCCTGGCACATGGCCTGCCTGCCATTCCCCAGGAGGATGGCCTGGGTTCAGTCCCATGCTGGGAGCAGAGCAGAGCTGGGTTCTGAGGGAGGCAACCAGGGCACAAATCAGGCCAACAGCTTTTTTTAATTCTCAATAAGGCTTGGCCCGTGCAGGGCAGGGATGGAGGAGGGCTCTCCACATTCCCCAGGGGCACAGAGGGCTGCAGCAGGCTGAGGAAGAGGAAGGTGGCACCCACCAGATGCAGGACAGAGGCGGGGAGAGCGGGGCATATCCTTGGGGTGTGGGGACAGGCATGGAGCTGTGCCTTGGGGCTGCAGGCAGCCTGGGGCTCCCGTTGTCCCGTATTTCCCCCGCAGGCTCCGTCTCCAGAGGGAGCGGCCATGCTGCTTCCCTTGCCCTCGAGGTGCTGGGGATGTGGGACCAGAGGAAGACTGGGAGCAAGGAGCTGTACCGGCTGGCACCACCGAAGGGATACGCAAGAAAATCAGGGGCACATCGGTGCCAGAGGGCCCTGGGGGGGTCTCGAGGGAGAAGGCACCCACAGACTTTTTTTCCCCCACTCCATCACGCAAACCTCTCCTGCTCCCGTGGGTCTCAGCCTGGGTGCGAGCACCTCCTGGGGCACCCATCCAGCACAGTATCCAAAACCAGCCTGGGGTGCCTGACACCCCCAGCACCCGTACCTGTGGGCTCACCCCACGGGGCCAGGAGGGCTGGGGCAGCTTTGGGGACTGCTGGCATACCCCTGGCATAGAAGCCACCCGTCCCCGCACCACAAGGGATGCCCTGGCCTTGGCCAGCCCCGGTGCTGAGCGCAGCGGGTGCAACACATCCAGGGCACAGCATGGCCACCACCGCCACGTCCCCAGAGCAGCGCTGCCGAGAAAACCAGCCTTCACACCCCAGCGGGACGGCATGGAGAGGTGGGAAACCCCTCCATTGCTCCTGCCTGGCTCCCCGCCATGGGACGGGGGCCACAGTCAGATGG